CTTGTTGTGATCCACACACTCAAAAGCCTTTTCATAGTCAATGAAGCACAGGTAGACATTCTTCTGGTATTCTTTGCTTTCTGCCAAGATCCATCTAACATTAGCTATAATATCCCTAGTACCATGACCTCTTCTAAATCCAGCCTGTACATCTGGCAGTTCTCTGTTGACATATTTTTCCAAACGTTTTTGGATAATTTTCAGCACAATCTTGCTTGCATGTGATTATTAATGATATTGTTCGATAATTTCCACACTCTGTTGGGTCACCTTTCTTTGGAATGGGAACAAATATCAATCTTTCCCAGTCAGTGGCCCAGCTGGCTGTTCTCCAGATTTCTTGGCAAAACTTAGTGAGCACATCCAGGACAGTGGCTGTCTGTTGAAATATGTCAATTGGTATGCCGTCAACTCCTGGAGCCTTGTTTTTTGCTAATTCCTTCAGAGTAATTTGAACTTCCTCCTTCATCACCATAGGCTCTTGCTCATACATCATTTCATTAAATTCTTCTGTGTCAGCCAATTCCTTCTGATACAGTGACTCTGTGTATTCCTTCCATCTTCTCTTGATAACTTCCTGGATCATTTAACATTCTACCCAAATTATCTTTAAGTATTGCCACCCGTGGCTTGAATTTGTTTTTCAGCTCCTTCAATTTAAGAAACCCTGAGCGAGTTCGGCCCTTTTGAATTCTGAGGAATCTTGTAGTAAAATATGAAAATGTTTCAGAACATCTGTTTCAAGCTATTCTACAAATTATCATGTATATTATACTTTATATTTATCAAGCCAGAAAAAGAAATTTTTAAAAGAGGTCATTTTTCCTGCTTAACCCTTCTGGAGCGTCTGATGGATTCAGATCGCGCACCTGTGGGATTGTAGGGCAACTTCTTGCCAGGAGGGCACCAGAGTTCCCCTTCCAACCTCGTGCGAAGCCACAGTTTATCCTTCTAGTCTAAGAGTGGTGTTGCATGGAATCCAGGTTTATGCATTTGACCTCTGGGGGAACCAGGGTTATATGTCTCTGTACTTTTGAAGAACAATAGCTATGATCTCTTAACAACAGTTCTTGCTGCCTCTAACTCTCTGTGGTGCTTCCCCGTAGCATGCTTCTCTCTACCTAGGTTTTCTACATAGCTTCTCTCTACATCTCAGATTCAAGAGATGACCTCAGATTTTTTTCCCCTCAACTTTTTATGCTATTGCTGCAACAGTCCTTGCATATTCTTACCTCTATCTGGTAGAACCCACTTTTCTTTCTGAAGATTCGGTACGTGTAGACCAACTTTCCAAACCTGTGGAGAGATGACAGTGTTAATTCTAATTGGCTGTTACACTAATCCAGATAGCATCTATTATTAAAATTTGCCCACAATGCCTTTGTCAAATTTGGATTCCCAAAAGAAAAGGAACATCTTCAGAAACTCTCATTTCTGGGAACTGGAGAAATCAAGTGTTTTGAGATAAAGGCCCGTGTTCTGATGGTGTCTGGACAGTAGCAAAGAGGATAAGGTGAGAGTACCAACCACTTCCATGGCCTCAGTGCTTCTCTCTAGGGTTCTTTGCCCTACTTAGCTATAAATTGATAAAATATGCAACACATCTTTGGGCATTGCCTGTGTTGTATTTTAGATCACTTGTCTTTAACTATAGTAGAGATTGTTAGTGTCACTAAAGGTTGGGAATAGCATCTAAGAAAGTAATTTATAGCATTTTTTTTTTCTTTCTCACTGGAAAGGAAGCCATTGGCTAAACAATCTAACCATACTTTAGATAAAAGACCCAATCTAGAAAATTCTGGTTTAAAAGCATAAATTACCACTTTCCTCCAATTACAAAAGCAAAGGACCTCCAAATGACTGCCTCAGAATGACCTTATTATATCACAGAAGAACTGCGCTTCATAGGGTTTTCACTGGTTGATTTTCTAGGAGATTTCCTGGACTTTTGTTTAAGGTGCCTCTGGATGGAGCTAGCTACCTCCAAGCTTTAGGCCAGCAGCATAGCGCCTTAACTCTTTGTACCATCGAGACACTTCAATTGCAAGACATTATCCTCTGCAACACGTTATCAGTTTATAAGAGCTTTCTGTGAGGAAAAAAAAAAGATGTACACATTAAGTATGTACATCATAGAAATATTGTAAAAATATAAGACTCTGATACAATGACATGGGACTCAAAGTAGCTGAGTGATTCTTTCACACAGACATTCACACTAAGACATTAGGTGAAGGGAGTTCTGTACTGTACAATACAAGAAGCTGTACTGTAATCCCAAAGGGCGTGTGGTTCAAATCCACTAGATGTTCTGCAGGAAAAGGATGGGCCATTGCCTCCTGTGCCAGTTGGTTCTCACTCAACTGTACACAACAACAAACAGTTGAATGATCTTTTTATTATATTGTTGTTGTTGTTGTTGTTAGATGTCTTCGAGTCCACTATGATTCATACCGACACTCTGAATAACAAACCTGAAATTGTCCATCCTTAGCCAACCTCATGATCTCTGATATACTCGAGCCCATTGCTACGGTCACTGTGTCGAGCCATCTTGCTGAGGGTCATCCTCTCAATCATCCTCCTTCTATTCCAGCATAATGCCTTTTGCCAAGGACTAATCCCTCCTGACAACATGCCCAAAGTATGTGAAGCTGAGTTTCACCAGCCTTGTCTCACTTTTATTATATTAGTAAGTCAAAATGATAAAACAGGGAGTCATTTATAGGTACAAGGTGTAGTTGCTACTCTAAGGAGACCTATCTGTTTTTATGGAGGTTTTGATAATTGACTTCAAATCTTAACACCTTTCTCTGGCTTTTTGAGACCATCTGTCTCTAAATCACATGGCAGACAATAAAGGGTTTGACATGAGTCTTTGTGTCCATGTGACGAATGTATCCTCAAAGTACCCACAAGTCAGGGAGGAAATCTCAAAAAAGGCTTCTCCCAGATGGATTATTCAAATTAGAATTTTTTTAAAAGCCCATACATTGCATTTGGTTGAGCATATGGTTTGTAAACTCTTGACTCACATATAGCCTATGCAGATTCTTACGTAAATGACTTTATTTTAATTACATTGTTGAATGTAATTAGAAAAATCTTCACTAGAGGAACATGGAAGAATAAAACAAATGATGATTCTATGATAGTAATTAGTCAAAAAGCTATATATATCAAGTTTAAAGTTATTGCTCAAATAGGGTCTTATTCTTGGCCAAGTATTTTTAATTAAATAATAAACCATGTTGCAATAATGCATTATGAGAAAATTATTTATTGAATTTATGATAACTAAAGCTATGTATTTTATAATGTTTACCACAAGAGATTATGTAACAGTGAGGAGCAACTCTACATTTTATGGCTACTGGTGAGTAGATATAAAAACTTACTTTCAATACTCCCTTTCCTACTTAAACTCTGGTATCGAGAGCTCTGGTGGCATAGTCCACAAAATTTTACTGTTAACTTAAAAACGGCACTTCTCTGATGATTCAAATCCACAAGCAGCTCCAAAGGAGAAATAAAGTCCTTCTCCTCCCATGTAATTCACAGATTTGGAAAGCTCACTGAAGGGTCAGCTATGAGTCTGTTCCAATTTGATGGCAATAAATTTTAATTTTCTTTGCTTATCATATTGAGGCTCAATATCAAGAAAACAAAGATTCTCACCACTGGGCCAATTGGCAGCATCATGATAGTTGGTGAAGAGATTGAGATTGTTAACAGCTTTAGTTTACTTGGCTCCAATCAACATTTTTGGCACTAGCAGTCAGGAAATTAAAAGACCTGTTGCAATGGGAAAGTCTGCTGTTAGAGACCTTTCCAAAGTACTAGAGAGCAATGATGTCACTCTGGAGATTAAGGTGTGTCTGATACAGGCCATGGTAATTTCAATCACTTGCTATGTGTCATGTCAGAGAGTTGGACAATGATTACGGAGGATAGAAGGAGAATTGATGTCTTTGAGCTGTGGTGTTAGAGAAGAGTATTGAATACATCATGAACTGCTAAGAAAACGAACAAGTTTATCCTAGAGATGGTTAAACCAGGCTGCTCCTTGGAGGCAAAGATTCTAAAGCTTTGTCTGAAGTACTTTGGGCATGTTGCCAGGAGGGACCAGTCCTTGGAAAGGGACGTCATGCTTGGGAGAACGGAGGGACAGCACAGGAGAGGAAGACCCTTGATGAGATTAATTGATTCAGTGACTGGGGTAATCGAGATGGGTGTGTCAGAGACAGTGAGATTGGCACAGGACAGAGAAAAGTTTAGGGCTGTTGTACATAGAGTCACTATGAGTCGCAGGTAACATGATGGCACCTAACAACAGCAACAACATCATATTATAAATATGATTGATAAAACTTTTAAAGAAACGGGTTTTCAGCAAGAATTTACACTCAGAAAACTCAAATTCACTGCCATCAAATTGGCTCTGATCAACAGCCACCCTCCATCAGGTTTCTGAGGTTATAAACTAAAACATAAGAATATTGCCATCTTTTCCCCTCAAAGCTGATGGTGGATTTGCACTGACAGCAACATACAACCTTTGAGTTAGCATCAAGACTCCTTATGAATAAGTCCACCAGTGCATTTACACTAATGCTACATAAAAAGATCTTCTCCAGTGGTGACAAGAGAGACTTCCCTCCACCTCCCAGTACTTGAGACATTGCTTCCATTTTCTCTGCCTTGAATCTATCAGGCTAATCTCATTAACAGGGAGCTCTGGTGGCCTAGTGGTAAGGTTTCTACTCCATTGCAAACCCACTGGATGGTCAGCCATAGCATCAGATTGAACACATTCACTGCCCCCCCCCAACAATCATGATATCATTATCCTCACATTGATATTTTTAATGGTTGGTTCCACAGGTGGGAGCCCTCATAATGTTTAAGCACTTAACTTGCGTCAAAACGTTTTGTAGTTTATATCAACAAACAAATGGATAGAGAAGCTGTGGCATATTCACACAATGGAATACTATGTTGCATCGAAAAACAAGGAACTCATGCAATATTATTCAAAATGGGTGACTCTGGAGGACATTATTTTGAGTGAAGTATCTCGGTCACAAAAGGACAAATACTGCATGGTGCCACTGTTGTAAAACAAGACTGATGTTGGGTTTGGGGAAGAGACTGAGAAATATGGATTCAATAATGTGTACTGTATTGAAATAGTTGAGGGAGAAAACTGTTTAAAAGGGATATGTGATTAGGTATTTTTGTCATGACAGGAGTCTAGAGCAAAGGCTACATGGTGGAGTGGACCTGGGG